GTCAATATTGTTATATTATTCACAATATGATTATGAAACAAATACAACAGCTCGAAAAAATCGTAATATACAGGGTGCTTACGAACTATGAGAGGATTTTATAATGGCAAGTAGAATGTGTATATATTTAATTATAATAATAATAATAATATATCTACTACTCATTCTAACTACGAGAATTAGCCCAGAAGTCGGAGACTTGTGCGGGAGAGGAGGCGGCATATTATTACGCAGGCCTCATTTGCGCCCAGGAACGACTTATGTTGGTAGGCCCTAACCACCATTCAGTGCAAGAATGAGGGAAACCTGGAAAACCTCATTAATTAGGGGGGTGGTCAAATGCCAACCGGTGTCAATTTCTCACATTGACCCAAGCCAACATTCTCACCACTCCTGCACAGAGGGTGCCAATCCTCCGTACAAGCATAGCTAATCTACGGTCTACCGGCCGCGGGATTCGAAACCCGGGCAGATCGACACATCGATTTAAGTACTGAAGCCTTAAACCGTGCGGCTATCGACCGCGTTCAATTTTAAGGGAAGATAGGAAAAATTGAGTAGAATAAAAACACGCGATTAAGAAAAATTAAAATGTATATTTACGCTGAAAAAAATTTTTTTTAAATCATTATTTATACCCCTTTTAGCTTTTACTGCACTTTTAATAATCCATAGTGAACGATAAGAAAACAACAGATCTTTTTACCTAAACCCATGAAGGAATAAGATATTTTTTTACATTTTAAATATTAACAAGTACTATTTATTTGTTAATAAAAACAAATGTATAACAATAATAAATTGTTTTCGAATGTTAAATATTGTTAACGTTTTCACGATGTTTTATAACTGAATATAAGTTTTTAGTATTATTCAATTGATTATTCTGTTTGTAGTACATATACCTAGTGACTTACTACTTTTCAAAGAGTATACTATCTACCTATTTAAAATAAAAAAGTGCTAAAAAATACTCATTCGTCCATATAGCACTTTGTTATTAAAGTTGGGACTCATAATACGGCAAAATAACTCTTTATCCTATATCCTATAGCCATAGTATCCGGAACAAAAAAAAAATTGAACGCGATTTCAAGTTACTAATAATTATTCGTTCGCTAAATCATTTTACATTTACACACATTCACGGTGCGGTTATTTAATACAAAAGCCAAATATACCATGAAGCAAGTACGGACATTTAACTTTAGTTTGTATTTTGTTTGGCTACTGAAATAAAAAAGTACACTAATCCGTCACATAAAAACGAATCTATCTTGGAACCTTGCCAGAGGAAAGTCGCTGATTAATTTTTTAAAAATAAATGTGGTGAGTCTTTCGAGAATATGTCACTTTTAATCCTGAAGGGACAGAGGTGTACCTCTAGACTAAAATATGTTTTAAAGAAGCACTTCAGATTTTGTGACGCGCTATTATGCACTCCGTGAATTATAATGCCAGATTAGTAATAATTTTAAAATTAGTTATTTTAATTAACAAAAAATATCATATATACTGTAGTAACTATAGGACTAAAATACTTTATTAAAAGATACACTTTAGTAAATAAATTGTAACTAAAATGCTTGATCAAATTTTAATGATCGCCCATTAATGAAAAAAGGTGGAAAGTTTTTAAAAAAATTGTGTTTTCTTAAATTATACAAACGTATGTAATGACTTCAGTTTTTTGTTTTACAAAGGAGCATTGTTTCGGGAGTGTTAGTTTTCTGACAGTTTTTTTTTGATAGGTAATGATTGCTAAAGTATCATAACAAGTTACTTTCCAAATAATGATAATAATTTTATGTAGGTAATAAAGTTATCCATTATGTAGATAGTTTTTCTTAACTGTTATTTGCAATTTGAAATAGATGTTTTCATTAACTTAATATCCTGTATATCGAATGAAGCTTTTTCTGGTCATGCGCAAGTACATTATTTGCTAAGAAACAACACATTTGGATTTCACTACACCACAGTACGTTGTATCCCATTTTTATTCTGAAAAAAAAAAAAAAAATTGAAAAAGTAGATTCACTAAAAATAGTACGTACAACTTTGCTATATAAACTTACTTCAAAAACGCAACTGTTTCCAAGATACGGGTGTTGAAGTTAAAAAAAAATATCGAATTTATTCAAATGTCTGAAAATATTTATCATAAATGTATGATTTGATGTGCTAATAATATAACCAATTAAAGGCACAAACACTTCTCGAGGCAAAATTTACCACCGCACTGTGAGTATCAAATATTTATAATTTTTAAATTTTTTAAAATTTAAGCGTCTCGTGATTTATTTCTATTCTTTTGATAATTAAATTTAATAAAAAGAATTATTAGTTCGTTGATATTTATTTTTAGGTACATTTTAGGTACTTACACTACTTTGAAAGTTAAAATAATTATGAGTGACCTTTAGAAATTAAAATATCGATTTGAAATATTCAGAATCGAGATATTTTTCAACCTAGAAAATGATAAAATAACGAGAAAAAATATTAAAAAAATTCAATTTTTGACGATTTTGGAAATTTGTAAAAATCTTGAGCGACCTCTAAAAAATTTTTTGAGCTGATTTTTTGAGGGGGCTCATAAAACATGATAAACTAACATATTTTCACGAAACACGAAAAAAAAATCGTTTTTTTTTTGGGCCACCATAATACATGTCCAAAAAAAATGCTATTGTCGCTGCTGATGTACTTACTATCTACTACACAAAAGGACTTGCCTAGAATTCTTATTGAAAATTGTGTTACTGCAAATTAAATGTACAGGGTTATTATTGTGAGTTTATTATTGAAATTACAAAAAAGTATACAAAATTCACTTAAATTTTGTATACATTGATCAACTTCATGTCTTAGTTGATCTAAGTTTACACTAGTTTCCCTATAAACTTCGTTTTTAAGTAACGCCACAGAAAACTCTTCAAGGGTGTAAGGTCTGGGCTATTTGAAGGCCATTGAATATTTCCTCCATTACAAATCTACAAATCAAACCTATTATTTAAATAATTTCGTACTGTTCTGGTTGTTGAGGCGCTCCTCTTGTTGCCAAATTAAATTGGTATAGTGGATCAGCGACAGGTCTTCCAATTTGTTTTGTATTTGATTTTCAAGAAAATACAGGTATCGTTCCCCAGTCAAAGCACCTTAATAAAATAGTGGGCCAATGATTTTATTTCTCAGTATACCGCAAAAACATTAAACGATGTGCGTCCTTGACTTGGAATTTCTCTATTACAGTGAGAATTTTCATTTGCCCAGGTATGAGTATTTTTTCTATTTTAAATGCCAGCTATTGTAAAAGTCAAGGCGACTTCAAATTTTTTTTCTACTGAAGAAAAGGTGGTTTGAAAAAAACCTTTTTGTTTTAGTGTTCTGTAAATTCGGAAAAAGCGTTTTATGAATTCAAAAGTATCGCAGCAATAATCTTTGAAAAGGGTGTAGATCGAGGTCAATATTCTGTTAGGGGTATAAACTTTTTTAAATTTAATTAAAATTCGGTCAGCATAATCACGAAATAAAGTAGGGGAATCGTGTCGAAAATGCTTGGGGATTACTGAGATCAACTTTCTGGAGTGAATCCTACGAAAAAATTAAAAAAAAAATTTTTTTTCAAAATTTTTTTCTTTTTTTTCATAATTTCAAACGGTTTCTGCAATAAGAATGTAAAAAAAGTCAGGAAAATATGTTTTTTTCATTTTTTACAGATTATGAGCATTTAAAGGCAAAAAAACATGATCCTTTAATTTTTTTAAAAATTCAATCTAATGAAACAAAAAAACGGCTTGATGGACCGAATTGAAAGTCTGTAGGGCTTTTAAGGGTACAATAACCTGTAAAAGGCACACTTAACATTAGTCATTTTCCCAATATTCTCAATGTGGCACATGATTTTCTAGAAGACCCCTAAAAGTCCTATTTTTGACGATTTTTCAGTCATGTTAAGGATAAAAATTTTTTTTTTCTAAAAAACCGTGCCAGGACCTTGTAGAGAATTCATTCAAGTTTCTGAAACCCACCGTCGATTTTCTGTGCAACCATTGGTTTCTGAGATATCGATGAACAAAGAGAAAATGATCCATTTTCATTCAAAGTCCGATAGCTCAGCGAGAAATGGTCGTATCGAGACCAAAAAAAAAAGAAATTGAAGCTAAATAAACAACCTAACTAATCCATAAGGTGGTTAAGTTGGAAAAAATTTTTTCAAGTCCGTACACCAAAAATAAGATCAAAAAAAATTTCGAAAAATTTTTTTTCTTGATATTCATTAAGATTGCGCAATACGTGTTACTTGAAAAATTTTTTTTTGCAGGACCCAAAAATTATAAACTTCAAGCTTCAAATTGCTTTTTTTTACTCCAATACGACCATTTTTATCAAAGATACAGCCATTTGAAAAATCGCCGAAAATTTAGATTTTTTTTGATCCCTTAATTTTTTCCACTACCTAGTTTGGATAAATAAACGTTAGAACACTATAAATAAAATTATTGGCTCCGACACTGACCCCGCAGTTATTTCCCTTTGAGACCGAGCTCCAATATCCGATCTAATTGCATGACTGATTTATATTTAATAATCTCGTTCGGAAGGCATTGATCCAATATTTAGCCTTGATGTTATAGCACTTCTCTATTATAACAATTTCGTTTGACAAGTTAATATAGATTCGTGAATAAACGAACGTCAATTTCGATAATCAATATCTGCTATCAAAACATTTAAATATGAAGTTTGTATAGAAGGAATTCTAAAAAAAAAAATGCAATAAACTCGAGCGAACGCCTCCGTCTCGGCGAATCGTAGGCAGCCGGCATTTCCCATAAAAAAAAACTCGGAACAGGATACGCGCCTCGCAGTCCTGAAAAACTGAAAGCCTCCCCGTCGCCGTCCCCTTGCCCCCACGGGGAGGGCACAACAACGCACACCAGTGCAAGTACCGCGGCACACTCCGTTTTCTGTTTTAGTCCGTCCGTTCGCGAAGCAGGCGACGCTCGTCGCTCACGGCCCCCTACACAAAAACGCCGCAAACACGCAGTTTTCGCATTCGCCCAGGCACGGAGAGACCCGTTTTCGAAATTAAATTATGAGGAACGCTCATTTCAAAAGAGACAAGAGGAAGTACTATCTGTGGCAATAAAAAAAAACCAGCATGCATGCGAAATTTTCGTGCGGTTTCCACACTTCCTCTTCTTAGATAGTAATAATGCCTGCGGCTCTTTTTCAGTCGACCAGTAGGTGATTTTCAGCGGCGACGCGAGCGACTCTCTCACGTTCCCTTTTTTTTTTATTGAACAAAGGACCGCCGGTGTCGGGTGCGATGTGCGCTAGGAAATTCTGTGGTTGGTGCCACAAGTGGTGCTTTGGTGTTTTTGTTCTAGTGCTTTGTTTGGGATTAGATGGCGCCCGCGGGTTGTCCTTAGCCAGGATAAAGAGGGAACACATAAGCGAGGGAGTTGTAAGTACCACCAACTACAAAAAATATATTAATTTTAATAAATTGATTTTAAAACTGATCGATTCGATTGGGGTTAGTATTGAAACGTAAAAGTCAAACTGTTTTATAACAATTGAATAATACAGGGTGTCTATTCATCTCTCGAAAGCGTCTAGGATGATATCTGCTCCAAAGGGATTGCTTAGGCCAAGAAAATAAGCTGGGAAATTACCATTTCGCGACTTTTTGTTTTAGCAAGCTGAATTTATCACTATAGATGCTAAATATTATGTACAATAACAATATTAGTTTCCACAGTCATAAAAATGGAAGGATTGTTTACAGGGTGGTTAATTGTATATTTTTTACGTAAATTCAAGTATTTCGCTTATAACTTTTTTCCGTTCATTTCCACGAGAAAACAGTAAAGTACTTTTTTTTTCGTCTTCAAAAGACTTACAAAACTAGCATTCGGGCGTCAAAAAATATTGATTTGATCAAAAGTTATAAACAGAAGAAGTTTATTTATGACTTTTGAATTAAACATTTATAAACTGCGTTATTATTACCAGACCGTTTTGGCATCGCATTCTCTCATTCCTTATAACTATCTAATAACTCACACGAAATCTGGAATCGGTAAGTTGAATAGTTTACAAGTTATGGCCTTATAAACAAATTAACTAATTATTAGTTTGGACGATCCCGAGGATCTTCCACAATCGCACTGATTTTTTTCATGGTAGATTTCATAATAATACATTGAAATCTATATATTTTTTTTAAATTCAAATTTGCAACCCGGAATTTTTTTTATTTTTTTGCCTTAGTTGCAAAATGAAATATACGACGCACGAGCGTAATATGGTCATATATTATTACATATTCGGAAAGCTTATGAAAACAGCTTTAAGTTAAAAAAAAATCGTCAAGATTCGTTGAAAAACAACGGAGTTACAGACTGTCAAAGTTGACGGCCTATTGTTAAACAAATTAGGTTGGTAGCAAAAAAAATACTGTCATAACCGGCAACCCGAGTACTTTCCCAGGTAAAAATATTTTATTTGTGGAAGTTTGTTAAGTGCATAAGAAATATTGTCAAAAGTCAGTGGGTCGCTTGATTTTCGCCGAGTCGTGGCGCGGCGGAAGGGTGGGGGAAGCGAACGACAGCGAGTCCGAGGGAAATGACGGTAATATTCATAGTCCTGCCGTTAAATAAGCTAAATTCGCTTGAAAATAATATATTTGACAGTCTGTAACTCCATTGTTTTTCAACGAATCTTGACGATTTTTTTTAAATAAGTTCTTTTCATAAGCTTTATATAATAATATAAGTATAACTATATCACGCTCGTGCGTCGTATATTTCATTTTGCAACTAAGGCTAAAAAATTTACATGATGCAAATTAGAAATTAAAAAAAATGATAGATTTCAATGTATTATTATGAAATCTACCATGAAAAAAATCAGTGCGATTGTGGAAGATCCTCGGAATCGTCCAGATTAATAATTAGTTATTTTTTTTATAAAGCCATAACTTGTAAACTATTCAACTTACCGATTCCAGATTTCGTGTGAATTATTAGACAGTGATAAGGAATGAGAGGATGCGATGCCAAAACATTCTGGTAATAATAACGCAGTTTATAAATGTTTAAATCAAAAGTCATAAATAAATTTCTTCTGTTTATAACTTTTGATGTAACCAATATTTTTTGACGTTCGAAGGCTAGTTTTGTAGGTCTTTTGAAGACGAAATAAAGTACTTTACTGTTTTCTCGTGGAAATGAACAGAAAAAAGGTATAAGCGAAAAACGTGAATTTACGTAAAAATTATACAATTAACCACCCTGTAAACAATCTTCCTCCCATTTTTATGACTGTAGAAACTAATATGTTATTGTACATAATATTTAGCATCTGTAATGATAAATTCAGCTTGTCGAAACAAAAAATCGCGTCCAACTCTATATTTCCTGGCCCATGCTAGAGATTCTCATTTTTAAAATCACCGTAAATATTTTGATAAAATTTCGGCGTACTAAACTGCAGATAAGTGTCCAAGACTGGTCCTTTATTATTACAAGGTATCCAGAAACGGACTGGCCCCAACACAAAATTTTTTAAGCAGATGTCATACAATCCAACTGAACATATTTTTTGATTCTCTAAACATTTGCTTCTATAAAATGAACGGTTTTCGAGACAAATCGGTTTTTGGAATAATAGTAAAAACAATAATTAGTACAAGGGCACTAATAAAACTACTTTAATTTCTACAAAATGTTTCTTGCATTTAATATACAGTGTGACCCTTGATAGGGTACCGCACTCTTGTAAACTTTCTTATTGTTGATTTTTCGAGAAAAAAATATTCTTGATAAAAAGTGTTGCTTATCTTGGGAAGCCATGGGCAGTAATCAAATATGTGATAAAACATACAGGACGTCCAAAATATTACAAAATGTGAAATTTTCTCTAAACGAAGTGCCTTTATTTTTTTTTCGTTAAAGACTGTATGTATGTAACAAAGTTGTTTGACAACTCAAGAAATGCTTAAATACGGGGTTTAATTTACAATTTTTAACAATTTTTAACTATTTTACATACCATGGATATTCCTTATCAAGGTCAAAGTCAACACATTTATTTTTATTAACTGCCCATCGAATATATTTTTTTTCATATTTTGAAATTTATTTGCAGCCCATGGCTTCCCAGGTTAAGCAAAACCTTTTATCTTAACTTTTTCCCGAAAAACCAACATAAAAAAAGTTTACAAGAGTGCGATACCCCGATACCCCATCCGGGGAAACACTGTATATGTTATGTGTAACAATTTTAATAAAATTAGCAGAAACTGTGATATTAATAAATTTTATTTTAATGATTTCCACTCTATCGCTGTAATAAGTTGATTTTCGCTATATAAATATTACCTTTTTCTCATTTTGCATTATTATGTAAATGTTTACCTTTAATTTTTAGGATGTTTCTAGTCAGCTACGACCAACCTTTTCAAAGTTTTTGTAAAAAAATAAATTCTAGTTTTTACTGCTTGTCTCAAAATCCGATTTATATCGAACCATTTATTTTATCGAAATAAATGAAAAATATCTTTTTTAAAGAAGAATATTTATTTCTGTTTCATAAAACATCTGTCAAAATTTTTAAAAATACGTTATAGGAAGCATTTATGGGAGCTACAGATGAGACAAGCTTCTGTCTTGCATAAAAACATCGCCAAGAATACCAGAAACAATTTTTTTCTTTTTTTTTTGTTGGCAAACATTTTGAAAAAACTAAATTTTTTTATGAATACTGTCAAGAAATTCCGATAAATTTCTATGCCCATAGACCTAATACATCTAGTATAATTCTAGAATTAATCTTTGTAATATTCGAAAACGTAAGTACGGTCCTGACTTGTACGGATTGGTACTAACCCTTAACATTGACTGATCCTATAATTATCATTTTTTTTTTTCGTGATAACTTTTGTTGTTGAGAGCATCTAACAGTAGTTTTATTACCGACGTGGTAAGATACGAGTCTGGATGAACTTATAAAGCAAATTTCAATCACTTGCAGCGCGATAACATTGAAGCCTCTAAACCGCAAGTAAGTTTATTTTCCATTAGACAGAGATTGCGCCAAGTTAAACTCAGCAGGTGAAATTATCTAGCTCAACTAACTTACGTATTTATCAAAGTTATTTACCCAACACCGCAAGTGCCAGGCATTGTTTGCATTGATTGTATCTTAACCAGGTGTACACATTACAGTAAATATGTGCAATAATACTGGCATATTTTGCCTAAATACACTTTAAGTTCAAAACAAAGCCTATTCAGGACGTCTCATCGTTCGTAAAGAGCTTTATTGGAAACTTGGAAATATATATCCGCCTACGCATTCCCTGGATTTGTCTCCTCTAGACTTTTTGTGTTTGGAAGCGTGTTGTATATCCGTGATAACCTCCATAATTTCATGTTTATTTAAAAGCCCATAAAAGCAATCACTTCGGATTTTACGACTTGAAATGCTTACCGAAATGTCCTAGTTATCATCTTTAATATTAATTTTAATGCTTTTTTTCCGTCATTTTATTACTCATAGTCTGTCGGCTCTTTAGGTGCTTTTCTTCTGAACGTTACCGATAGCAGATTTTTTCTTAGTGCCACAACTAAATGAAGACATCGGGATTCGAGTAACGGGAAGTCGATCAATTCTGTGTAGCGTTCGAAGTGGGTCGCCGGCCAATTATCGCTGTGTGGCAGATAACCTCCTAAACAAATTCAAGCCTGGAGTGTTGACACTCTGAAACCTCTGATAGGGCGACGGTTTCATCCTCCGTTTTATCTCGCTGCTCACGTTTCCCATTTACATTTGATTGTTATTCTGCTACATCTATAATAGGCTATCTACACTGCAAAAAGAAGTACTGTAAAATTACAACTAAGATATATTCTGACTATTGTAATTGGCACTTTATAATATACTCTAATTGCTGCAATTTACATTATTTCTTCTACAGCTGATTTGTTGCCAGTAATATAGGTCGTGCAGTCTTATAAGAAATGTGAATTTACAATTACATTGCAAATTGTAAGTAAAAATTACATTCTACCTTCATGAAATTTCTCATATTTAGTAGATTAGTAAGATTAAGATCTAAGAAACTTAGGAAACGAGTAATTAAAAATATGTAATTTTCTACAAAACTACTAAGTACTGTAAAATTACAACCAATATATATTCTGACTATTGTAATTGTTATAATTTATAATATACTCTAATTGCTGCAATTTACAGTATTTCTTCTATACCTGATTTGTTGCCAGTAATATAAGTCGTGCAGTCTTATAAGAAATGTGAATTTATAATTACATTGCAAATTGTAAGTAAAAATTACATTCTACCTTCATGAAATTTCTCATATTTAGTAGATTAGTAAGATTAAGATCTAAGAAACTTAGGAAACGAGTACTTAAAATATGTAATTTTCTACAAAACTAC